CGGCGGTATTTATAGGTTTTAAACAATGTTTAAATTCTACTTTACTTTTTAATGCATGGATTCTTTAGAATATCCTTGTGCTAGTTATTTCTGAGTCTCCTCCAACCAGAAGGGGCAGGAAGGTCACTGTTTCCAGAGAGATCCTGCCACCTCAGAGCACTCGGGAAGGCAAGGTTCCCAGGCAGATTTCTAGCTCCTTCTGCCCTGGGCTGTATTTGACAGCTTGTGGACATCAGGTTGCAGTTCACTCTGAGAGATCGTAAAGCTGCTGAAGGATGGAAAATGAAAACATGCTGTGCTGCAGAGGGTGGGCGTGCCTGGGGTGGGGCTCTGCAGCCCCCACGGGCTACTGTACAGGGGGGTAGGCGGGCAGACGGATGCCCCCAAGGCTTGCGCACCAGGCCCTCCAGGAGGCCTGGGGTTGGGAGGACAGGGCAAGCCGTGTCCCTCCACTCACTGGGAGGCCATGATCTGCAGAGACAGCAACAGGCTCCTCACCTCCTTCCTCCACGAAAGCCGCCAGCTGGGTTCCCCCAGGCTGTTCCCCTGGAGCACCCAGCCCCTCTGAGGAGCCCCACGTGGGCTCATGAAATGACTCAGAAGGGGACCTGAGTCACTTTGCTTGAGCTTTCCCGGGAGCCACCTGGGCTCCAGGTAGAGCGAAGGTTTGCGCTCAGTCCATGACTGGACACAGAGGCTGGGAAGCTGACAGAGTGCCCGCCCTGTGCCAGGGACTGTCTGTATGCCTCTCCTTGCCTCATTTAACCAATCCCGAAAAAGGGAGACACAAGCACAGGGCCAAGCAGCTGGGAGAGTAAGAACCGGACATTCAGAGAGCTAGTCCTCCACTGGGGGCCACGGGCCAAGACCCCAGACAGAGGGCCCCGCGGACAAGACCCAGCGTCTGCGGGACCCAAGAAGTCGCTCGCTTACTGGGGAAACTAGCCCGACGATGAACGGTTTGCTGGTTTGTTTTGAACCCAGTGCAGGGATCTGAGAAGGAGAAACATACACTTGGCTTTCAACCGTTGAGTTGGATGGTGGATCTCAGCCACTCAGCAGCTGGGGCTCAAGATCAAGGTCACGTTAGGCGGGGAAAACCCCCTAAGAGGGCTCAGGATCCTGGTGGGGAAAAGTCCCCTATTGGGTCTGCCGCACAGGTGTGAGGCTGAGGAAGATATCCGCAGCCCATCTCCGCGTTTCCCCCTTTCCCAGTCCTACTTAATCTGTACCCTGTCTGGCATTAAGACAGTCAGTTCTGCAAGAGCCTGTGTGCTGGAGCTACAGGGAGGAGAGGTTGACCGCAACAAGGAAGTTCAAGGGAGGCAGGCAGGTGCCAGGGATGTGGGTGAAATAGGATGAGGGGCACATACAAGCCCGTGGACACCGGGTCTCCAGGGCTAACCACCTGGCCACTTGGTGGAGTAGGGGGTGACCTCCTGAGACCCTGTCCTCTGTGCTATGAGTTAGAAAGTGTGCGGGTGCAGGGCACACTTCAGCTGGGGCGGCCGGGCCCAGAGTGCATCCCTCAGTGTAGAGGGAGGGGAAGGCTAGCCCTGTTTCAGCCCCGCGGGATGTGGCAAAGGGTAAGAAGACCTAGTCTGCTCAAGTCCACTCGGGCAGGGAGACTCATGTTCTCACCAAGCCCAGGCCGGATAGAAAGCTTGAAGCGCCCCCTCCGCCCACCCCCGCCCCCCGCAGTGACCCGATGACCTGTCGGGTGATGTTCCCACCTGGCCCCTTGTGTGTTTTCTCCTGGGGAGGCCCTGTCCCTTTTTCTCCTCTGTACTGGTTGAGCCAAGGACCACATTTCCTCCGAGTCACCCCAAAGAAAGGGGGGACATGCTGTGGGTGGAGGGCTGAGCATGCTGGGCTTCCCACCATGAGAAAGGCAGCTTCCATGTCCCTTGGGAGCTGGGATTGAACCTGACCCTCCTGCACATTGGAGGAGATGCATCTCTGGGGGGTAAGGATTTCCGGCACTTGCTGATAGGCTGGAGGGAGCCTGGTGCAGCGGGAACAGAACCCAGGAGGCCGGGTCCGTCTCACCACCGCTCTGTGCCTGTTTCCCATCCAGGCTAAGCAGCCTCCCTGCAGGGCTGTTCAGGGTTATTTACAAGGACCCACAGCGAAGCAAAGGTCAAGGTGCAGAGTCCCTCTTCCTCCCTTTCATCTCACCCGGCCGCCCGGCCCCTTGCTGTCTCTTTGATGACATCTTTGGAGCCACAGGGCCCTGGCTCTGAGGAACTGCCAGGCCGGGCAGGATGCTGTCACCGAGAACTCTCCGGGGTCGGTAGCATCTCCCGCCCCTGACAGCCCCAGTGACTCAGACGCACCCGGGGTGCTGTTCCCCCCACGTGTGTCAGCACCCTCTCACAAGTGTGTCCTGAAGGGTGGCTAGAGCTGTTGGTTGGCATGTTCACGGGGTGCTGGTTTCCTCCAAGGGCAGAACCAAGGAAGTGACCTGGCTCAGACTGGTGGGAGGTACGGGGCCTGACGCGGCTCACCTCTGAGTGACCTTGGAGAAGTCTCTGACTTTGCCAAGGCTTCCGTTGTGTCCTCCAAAGGGGAAGATGCCCAGCCCCTTGTAGCTCTAGCATGCTCGCCTCTATGAGGCAGGACCCCTGGCTGCGGAAAGGGGAGAGGAGGGGTCTCTGGCCTTGGACACCTTCAGAGATGGTCCTCCTCGAATGCTGCCTGCAGTGCCACTGTTCTGCCTATCATTCGGGGCTCCAGGAAATGGCTCTGGCTCTGGGACCTTTGGTGAAGCGAAGGTCATGGAGAAGTGAAGGTCAAGGACTAGATACACGCTCCTTCTAGCCAGAGTCCTGGGAAACCACACACGTTCGCTCCCCTGGGTTCCAGCAGTGGAGGAGGCCTTCCTTCGCCACATGCGTGCTGCCCAGTTGCCATGGGCCCATCACCGACAAACAGGAAAGTCTAGAGGAGGCTGCCTCCCTTACCGGAAACTGTCAAACCAAAACTTGTGCCACTCACTTCCTCCTGAATCATTTGGGGTTTAGAAGATCATTGAAAAAGGAAAGAAAGCCAGCCCCATGGTGTGAAGCTTCTCAATCTGCCCCACCCCGGAGCTTGCTCACCCCTCCATCCCCCAGAGCCTCGGCCTGTGACCCTCACCAGACGAGCAGTAGCGTCCGTCTTGCCACACCTCCTGTGTGCAACTGCTTTCACGCCCATTCATTCCCGTCCAGGCGCCACGTCCAGACCCAAAAGGTTTGAGCACAAGACCCAGTTTCGCACTGTTCGTGACCCTCCCTCCCCCTGTGCCCTGGTTCAGTCCCCACACTGTCTGTCCACTGGCATAGCACAAAGAGGCACAAAGAACGGGACCTCGGTTTTATAGGGGAGCCTCCAGCAGGCTGCTTTCGAGGTAGGAATGTGCTGCAGCCTGAACACCCTCAATGTCATTGAGGCCGGGTGTGGGCTTGGAGAGTGTTCCTGATGGACAGGACGCAGGGAGCCAATGCCCTCTGGGCCCCCGTTGTGATAGCACAGGGGAAGGACCCCAAGAACCACACACAAGCCTGGGGTCTGCAGGTAGATGCAAACGCCAAGTAACAGTCGGGAGGGCAGGTGCAACTCTCCACACTCAGGTCCCCAAACCCTGCAACGTGGGGCCTGAATGCGGTTTTGTTTGCAGAGCAGGAGCTTGCTCTTGGCATTGGGAGGCGGAAGGCGTTTGTGAGGGGGAGGAGAAGTTGCAGAGAAAGAAGAAATCCTGAAAGGACAGGCAGTGGGACAGCTGTGGCCTGAACTTGGTGTTCTTCCTCCTCGGATGTGGATGTATTAATTTCCATAAATGCTAATAGCTCATTTCCCCAAGAGCTATTACTTATGTTATCTCCCCTTGGATGCATTTCAACACAGGGCAGACAAGTGAAAGAGAAGAAAGGGCAGCCCCCACTGGTGAGTTCCCATTCCCCAACCCTGTCCCCACCAGGCAGCTCAGGACTGTTCTAAGGTGGCCCCTCTAACTGCAGGGTCAAGACCCCCCTGCCTACGGCCCCACAACCAGGTCCCTATCATGCCAGGAGGCACAGAAAGTTACCAACCCCAAAAATGCTGAATCACAAAGTAAGCTGAGTAGGAAAGTGGGGGTGGGGTGGGAAGGGAGCCGGTGGCTAGGGGGGAAGGCAGGAAAGGGTGCTAAGGGGCTTCTCACCTGGAGCCCCCCAGGCCGCTCTAGACAAAGCGTAGACCCTAAAGGAGCCCCCAGACAAATGCCAGGAGGAGCAGAGCCAGGGTAGGCTGCCTGGGTGGGAGGGTGGCAAGGTGGGCAGGTACAGGACTGCTACTGCAGCAGGAAGCGGTGCAGCAGCTGGGTCTCTGCGTCCCGCAGGAGCAGGTAGGGGAGGTGGGGAGCGAAGAGAAGCTGAAGAGGGGGCAGGGGTATAGGGACCGGGGTGGGGTGGGGTGTGTAGGCAGCCAGATGAACTGGTGCAGGAGGGGAACGCCAAGGTCCTGGGGAGCAAGGCGAGGTGCAGAGAGGGCGCCCGCGGGGAGAGATGTAGCGATTGGGAGCAGAATGGGTGGGAAGATGGGGCCAGGGACCTGGAAGGAAAGGCAGGATGAGCCTTCGGGAGCAACAAGGAGAGAGATGGGGGGGACCGGTCCAGGAGCGCTCCGATGGGGCTGCGCTGAAAGGGGGATGGGGGAGGGGGAGGCGAGGCTGCGGGAAAAGGAGGGGCCAGAGACGGGACGAGGGGAAGGATGAAGTTTGGGGCCGGGGTCGGGCATGGGAGCTAAAAGGTCGGGCGGGTTGGCAGATAGGGCAGGCAAGGGAGGACAGGATGGGGGCAGGGAGATGATGGAGAAGGAGTCGAGCCGGCTGGAGAGGAGGTGAGGACGGAGGCGGGCGCGGGGACGCGCTGGGGGAAAGGAGATGGAGAGTCAGCGCGGGCCTCGCGGGTGCCCGCCGCCGCTTTCCCGGCGCACGGTCGTGTACTGCGCGGACGGCCGGGGTCTCCCCCTGCACTCACCTGGGGGCTCCAGCTCCGGATCCTCTGCCCCGCTCCGGATCTTCCTTCCCGCCCTGTCCCTGCGACTTTAGCGCCCCCGAATCCCACTAGCTCCACCAGGTTCCGCCCGCAGCACCTTCACCTCGTGGGACGCCCGGGGCCACGCCTCTGCCTGCTTATCATTGGCTGGTCTTCACGCCAGTCACATCCCTATTGGCCGAGGGATCGCCGACCATGCAAATCAGAACGGGCCCGCCGCCGCGCCTATTGGCTGGCGCTCCCGGAGCGGAGCCCCTGGACTTGGGCTCTGATTGGTCCCACAGTGCTGCTGACGCGGAGGTCGGGGTGCGGGTTCTTTCCCTTCCGAAGGTCCTCGGGCGGGTGGCAGCGGGTCGGGTGCCCCTCGGCCGGTCCTCGGACCGCAAGGCCTGCGGCTCCGGTGGGCACCGGCCGGCCGCCGGGCCTCTGGATCCTTCCGGGGGGCACATCCTCGAAAGCTTGGGGCTCGACGCCCCGGGGCGGGTGTGGCAGCTGCAGGCCCGTCTCCTAGGTAACGCTGCCGGCCGCTGGCGGAACCACGTTGGCTGGCTCCGCGGGGGAGGTTGGACGCAGCCCAGAGGCGCGGGGGCCGCCGAGCGGGTCAGGGCCTCGGGCCCGGGGGGGGGATGCTCCGTGAGTCTTTCACCGGGGCCCGGTACCTGCGGGGCGCGGCGGCCGGGTGGGCGCGAGGCTGTGCCCGTGTCGGTCGCACCTCCTTCCCCCCGCCGTGACACTTGGTGCGGCCGGAGCCACAGGCTTCGGGGGCTTCTTGGGGCTCAACCTCAGTACTCTGCCCCTAGACTCTGCGCCCCCTTGCAGCCCTCCAGCTTAAGGCGAGCGCGGTGCCGCCGGCCTGGGCTGTGCTGAGACCGCGGCGTTGGCCCTCCCCTTTTCCCCGTCGAACCCCTGCCGGGGACCCCTGCTTTGCCTGTCCCCACTGGGTTCCTGTCCCCCGCTGGCCCTGCCGACCCGTCCCAGCGCCGCCGCCCAGTGGAGATCTGGAGACTCCCTGGCCCTCGCAGGAGTCCCTGCCTTGATAGCCCTGCCTGCCTACGGCCTCCCCTGAAGCTGCTCCCACCTTTCCCTCCGCTGTCCAGCCCACCGACCTCCTGACCGCCTCCGAGCACCCGACCTGGGCCCTTCTCGAGACCCCAGTGCTCGGTCTCCTGCTCGCTTCTTCAGACTCAGAGGCCCCACCTTTGCATCTCTCTTCCCATGCCTGCTTCCCTAGAAGACAGATGCCTTATCAGACCCGGTCCTGCCTTCGGTGTTGCACTGTGCCACTTGGGTTGAAGCATACGAAGGAAGTCTGGCCTCCCAAGCTTGTGTAGTTGGAAAAGGTGTCCTTTAGATGATGGTGGATAGTCGCCCCCAGTTCCCGCCCAGGTCTTCATCACAGCTCACTACACCCTCCGGTCCTCTGATTTTCAGAGGTCACAGCCACCTCCTTTGTGTGCTAACTTGCTTCCTGTCTTTCTGCCTCTCTCCAGATACATTCCTCGAGGGCAGGACGGTTTCTCCAGGGCCTGGCACGTGGTAGGTACTCAAAGACTATTCCTTGAATGAGGAATTCCAGGCAGTGCTTAAGGAGACCTCTACTCACTCTCAAAAAAGCTCCCCAAAGCTTTCAGGTCTCAGGCATTCCAGATTTTGTTCACTTCTGGGAGGGAAGCTTCCCTGTGACCAGGCAGCTCCTGCGGTTCCTGCTCCTCCCTTGCCTTGGTGAACCGCTGCTTGTGAGACATCAACCCAGCCTAGCACTTCGGCGCCCGGATTCCCTTCTCTTCTCTACCCTCCCTCCCCTGCCAAAGAAAGGAGTCTGCATCAGGCTTGTCTTCTGTGTGCTGCTCCCACTTGCCCCCTCGTTCTTTTAAATTTTATTTTATTATTATTTTTTTATACAGCAGGTTATTATTAGTCTATTTTATACATATTAGTGTGTATACGTCAATCCCAATCTCCCAATTCATCCCACCATCCCCCCACCCCGCCCCTGCTTTCCCCCCTTGGTGTCCATACGTTTGTCCTCTACATCTGTGTCTCTATTTCTGCTTTGCAAACTGGTTCATCTGTACCATTTTTCTAGATTCCACAGATATGCATTAATATACGATATTTGTTTTTCTCTTTCTGACTTCACTCTGTATGATGGTCTCTGGGTCCATCCGCGTCTCTACAAGTGACCCAGTTTCGTTCCTTTTTATGGCTGAGTAATATTCCATTGCATATATGTACCACATCTTCTCTATCATTTTGTCTGTTGATGGGCATTTAGGTTGCTTCCATGACCTGGCTATTGTAAACAGTGCTGCAGTGAACATTGGGGTGCATGTGTTTTTTTGAATTATGGTTTCCTCTGGGTACATGCCCAGTAGTGGGATTGCTGGGTCATGTGGTAGTTCTATTTTTAGTTTTTTAAGGAACCTCCATACTGTTCTCCATAGTGGCTGTTTCAATTTACATTCCCACCAGCAGTGCAAGAGTGTTGCCTTTTCTCCACAACCTCTCCAGCATTTGCTGTTTGTAGATTTTCTGATGATGCCCATTCTAACCGATGTGAGGTGATACCTCACTGTAGTTTTGATTTGCATTTCTCTAATAATTAGTGATGTTGAGCAGCTTTTCATGTGCCTCTTGGCCATCTGTATGTCTTTGGAAAAATGTCTGTTTAGGTCTTCTGCCCATTTCTTGATTGGGTTGTTTGTTTTTTTTAATACTGAGCTGCATGAGTTCTTTATCTGTTTTGGAGATTAATCATTTGTCTGTTGATTCGTTTGCAAATATTTTCTCCCATTCTGAGGGTTGTCTTTTCATCTTGTTTATTGTTTCCTTTGCTGTGCAAAAGCTTTTAATTTTCATGAGGTCCCATTTGTTTATTTTTGTTTTTATTTCCATTACTCTAGGAGGTGGGTCAAAAAGATCTTGCTGTGATTTATGTCAGAGGGTGTCCTTCCTATGTTTTCCTCTAAGAATTTTATAGTGTCCGGTCTTACATTTAGGTCTTTAATCCATTTTGAGTTTATTTTTGTGTATGGTGTTAGAGAGTGTTCTAATTTCATTCTTTTACATGTAGCTGTCCAGTTTTCCCAGCATCATTTATTGAAGAGACTGTCTTTTCTCCATTGTATATCCTTGCCTCTGTTGTCATAGATTAGTTGAGCATAGGTGCGTGAGTTTATCTCTGGGCTTTCTATCCAGTTCCATTGATCTGTATTTCTGTTTTTGTGCCAGTACCATACTGTCTTGATTACTGTAGCTTTGTAGTATAGTCTGAAGTCAGGGAGTCTGATTCCTCCAGCTCCATGTTTTTTCCCTCAAGATTGCTTTGGCTATTTGGGGTCTTTTGTGTCTCCATAAAAATTTTAAGATTTTTTGTTCTAGTTCTGTAAAAAATGCCATTGATAATTTGATAGGGATTGCACTGAATCTGTAGATTGCTTTGGGTAGTATAGTCATTTTCACAGTATTGATTCTTCCAATCCAAGAGCATGGTATATCTCTCCATCTGTTTGTGTCATCTTTGATTTCTTTCATTAGTGTTTTATAGTTTTCTGAGTACAGATCTTTTACCTCCTTAGGTAGGTTTATTCCTAGGTATTTTATTCGTTTTGTTGCAATGGTGAATGGGATTGTTTCCTTAATTTCTCTTTCTGATCTTTCATTGTTAGTGTAAGGGATGCAAGAGACTTCTGTGCATTAATATCGTATCCTGCAACTTTACCAAATTCATTGATTGGCTCTAGTAGTTTTCTGGTGGCACCTTTAGGATTCTCTATGTATAGTGTCATGTCATTTGCAGACAGTGACAGTTTTACTTCTTCTTTTCCAACTTGTATTCCTTTCATTTCTTTTTCTTCTCTGATTGCCGTGACTAGGACTTCCAATATTATGTTGAATAATAGTGATGAGAGTGGACATCCTTGTCTTGTTCCTGATCTTAGATAAATGCTTTCAGTTTGTCACCATTGAGAGTGATGTTTGCTGTGCGTTTGTCGTATATGGCCTTTATTATGTTGAGGTATGTTCCCTCTATGCCCACTTTCTGGAGAGTTTTTATTATAAATGGGAGTTGAATTTTGTCAAAAGCTTTTTCTGCAGCTTTTGAGATGATCAAATGGTTTTTATTCCTCAGTTTGTTAATATGGTGTATCACATTGATTGATTTGCATATATTGAAGAATCCTTGCATCCCTGGGATAAATCCCACTTGATCATCGTGTATGATCCTTTAAATGTGCTGTTGGATTCTGTTTGCTAGTATTTTGTTTGGAATTTTTGCATCTATATTCATCAGTGATATTGGTCTGTAATTTTCTTTCTTTGTAGTATCTTTGTCTGGTTTTGGTATCAGGGTGATGGTGGCCTCATAGAATGAGTTTGGGAGTGTTCCTTCTTCTGCAGTTTTTTGGAAGAGTTTGAGAAGGATGGGTGTTAGCTCTTCTGTAAATGTTTGATAGAATTCACCTGTGAAGCCATCTGGTCCTGGACTTTTGTTTGTTGGAAGATTTTTAGTCACAGTTTCAATTTTATTACTTGTGATTAGTCTGTTCATATTTTCTATTTCTACCTGGTTCAGTCTTGGAAGGTTGTACCTTTCTAAGAATTTGTCCATTTATTCCAGGTTGTCCATTTTATTGGCATAGAGTTGCTTGTACTAGTCTCTTATGATGCTCTGTATTTCTTCGGTGTCTGTTGTAACTTCTTTTTCATTTCTAGTTTTATTGATTTGAGTCCTCTCCCTCTTTTTCTTGATGAGTCTGGCTAAAGGTTTATCAATTTTTTTTATCTTCTCAAAGAACCAGGTTTTAGTTTTATTGATATTTGCTGTTGTTTTCTTTGTTTCTATTTCATTTATTTCTGCTGTGATGTTTATGATTTCTTTCCTTCTACTAACTTTGGGTTTTGTTTGTTCTTTTCTAGTTCCTTTAGGTGTAAGGTTAGATTGTTTGAGATTTTTTTTCTTGTTTCTTGAGGTAGGATTGTATTGCTATAAAGCTTCCCTCTTAGAACTGCTTTTGCTGCATCTCACAGTTGTGTTTTTATTGTCATTCGTCTCTAGGTATTTTTTGATTTTCT